CAATAAAACGTGGGGTTCTGCACAGTGCTGCTTCTGACAGCAATCCACCTAAGCAGCAAACTGGGTGAGGGAAGTGGGACCAAGGTCTTGATCCCTAAGCATAATTCTGGATGCGTCTGGAAAATCTGGAGATGAACTGAACAGTCTTAGGAGTCTTAAGCAACACGACACAGTCAKGTTCCAGCAGCACTTGGGTGCTACTTGACTAGCATGTTATTGAATAGTGATACTTTACACAGGGAGAACACAACACTAGAGCAGGATGATGGATGCATCATCACAACATATGGACTTACATTCCACAGCTTCACAGGGAATCCTTCCTGAAGTACCTACTCAAGTTACTGAAAGTTATTGACAATTTCAACTACAAAGGCTACTCAGTATATTTGAAGATATTCTGATAGGTACTCTGAGGAAAATTGATACTTGAGAAAAAAAAAGAAGTGCCTTTTACAAGTTCCACCACAAGTGTTTGGCTCTGAAAGACAAATATCAACATGCAATAGGACTGTATGTACCTGTAAGTGCTGATAAACACTGCTCAACTCCATTGCTTCTTGGGAAATGTTTTTAGATCCATGGCAAAAACCCTTTTGCTATCATGTGTAATTCACACTGTTGCTATTTTTAAAGTATCAGGAATTTAAATATTATATAGGACAGCCTAGTTCTTTATAGATAAGATAGTAATCTTCTGTAGAAGTGTTCTGCATGGCTAGTTTAGCAACAATGCACACTTGTCATTGTTTCATTTAGCTTGGAAAAATATTCAGCTATTGGTTATTGTGACAGCTGGGAAATGTAAGTGTTCAACCCTTTTAAGTAAAGTCAGTAAATGCACAATCAATATTTATTTTCTATTAATATGAAAACTGTATGTATACTGCTTGGCTGCCTCTTTTGCAGAAAAGGATAAACAGAAGGATGTATGTTTCATTTGCCTTTGTATCAATGAAAATTAAAATATTTGCTGAATGTGGAACAAAAGCAATTTTCACTCAACTCCTTCCCAGCAACATTACACAGACAGTATTAAAATACATAATTTATACACGTAATAGCATATATTCTCTATAAAAATGTTATACATTTTCTTGATAATTTGTCCCAGTGAAACTGAATTTGATAACTTTTATCCTCTGTAGAAAGTATTAACTTTGGCTGGCTCCAAACTGACATGCTGGGAATCAGAATTCCTTGTCCTGTGAGTAAAGTTGCACCACTTCCATATCACAATCACAGAGTGGCTTTAGAAAACGGAAGACCAGGATCTAATCATTTTTCCCCACACTGTCCATTCTAGGATGTCTACAGCAGTTTGACATTACAGATCACATCAGCACAGAGTCATTACTGAAAAGGAGATAATTACTAAGTTCCGGGTTTTATAGCATAAAAATATTCCTCATCAATGGCTGACATTTCAAGGACTGCAGTGTGGCCTGTGATGGACAGGAAGATTATTTTACATCATAGATGTATGAAGAAGTGCCTCCAAATGGCCAAGACAGAGATACTGCACAGAAGGATTCACCCTCATTAACCTACCACTTTCCCAAGCCACCTCAGAGCAATGCAATTAACAATTTTCCTGTCTTTAGATGCAAGTTTCTGCTACACTGAAAGMGCTGTATTGTACAGCAAACATTAACTTGTCCTCAGGAAGTGCTAAATCCAAACTACTCTGTTACACCTCACATTACTCTCTTATTTCATAGCATTTCAGAYGAGCCTATATGGTCTTTTCTCTTGCTGCTGCCTGACTGCAGTCCAGCTCTGAATCAGAAACACACTAGAAAGGTGGGTCACAGCAACAAGAAAAGGGCTCTAAAGGTTTCCCCTTGGACTTCTGCCATCATTTCATGTCAAAAATGGGTTTGTTAGCTTGAGTCTCACAGTCCTTGCCACAATACAATTTTTAGATCAGAATTTTATTTCATCTGGCCAGCACAAGAGGCAGGCATAGCGAATTTATCTCAATTTGCAAAAGATTGTGTAGACATGGTCTTGATATAACTCCTTCTTGATTGCTCCTGGAGACTTAGGAACAGTAGTCATCTCAAGTTGTTCACAGAAAAGTAAGATAGAAAATGAATGTGCTGCTTCTTTGCATGGATTCAATGGACTTTATAAGTGGATTTATTTCCTTCCACCAGCTAGTTCAAAGTCCCCAGCATTCCTACAGCAAACCTTGTAATTGATTCTTTCTTATACAATCCTTTTTCCACGGAGCACTAGGTGAAAATGATATGGTTTTAACCTCTGCATTTGCTAATGCACTTCATAATAAAAAGCATAATTCTGTGGAATTTTAACGTCTTTAACAAGAGGGTAGGAAAGATAAGAAGGATCAACATTTTCTTTTCAACTGGTCTTCTTAAGAAAGTGCAAACTAGAGCAATCCGCAGGGACTGAACACTTTCAGTATAATTTCAGATTTGCACTATAAACCACACATTTAAGTCCACTGGTTTATATGGTATAATTACAACCCACAGATTACAGGCACATTCAGTAAAGCTCTGATTCACTCCAGGAGCTGGTATATTGGAGGAGATAAATTGAGAAAGTAATTTCAGTTCAAGAGTTAGACTAGAGCCTTCCAGCAAACATGATGTAACTGTATTGCAAAATAAAAGCCACTTGTTTCCCAGCTCTTTATCTACATTTGTAGGCAGCAACAGTTAGATTTTCTTTAGACCAGAGTCACAAAGGCACTTACAGCAACCTCTGCAAGACCATTCAATCTTACTCTCATAAACAGGATTAACTACGATTTTGATAGGATATTTGAAAGGATCAACTATCTGTGGAGGTGCCCAAGTTTATCCATTGACTTCAGAGGGAGACAGAGTGAGCTTAGAGTAGATTCCTAAAGTCTACATGGCTAAAATAACATCAGGTCAATTCTCTGTGGCATTCAGGTGGAAATGACGAGCAGTGTCTGCAGGAAGGGTTCTGAGTGTCTGCAAGAGAGGAAGAGTGTTGAGCAGGACGAAGGCCATGTGCTCTGGGTGTCCCTGCTGGAGCAGGGGGCTTGGGCTAGATGATCTCTAGGGGTCCCTGCCAACCTCAACCATTCTGTAATTCTGTGAAGAGTCTGCAGATGGCATCTACACTGAGGAAATGGAAAGAATGAAACACTGAGACTTTTCTCAGCTAGGTATAGGAGTCAGAGCTGTTCTTTGTCTTTTCCACTCCAGCACAATTATGCCAAAATAGAGAGACATCTTCCATCTTTCCAAGTAACTTTAGTGGAATCTCCACATCATCTCAGTGCCCTAATCCAACAGCCAACCTCAGAAAAGATGCCATTACAATTGACAATGTTCTTACCAGATCTTGCCACAGGACATCTCCCTCAACCACCATGTGGGGCTACAAAACCCCCAAGGCAGATCTGAAAACATTGGCTAAACAACTTAATTGCACTGCTTTCACCAGGCCTCTACCATGTGTGTGTATGTATGCACCTTCGTATGTATAAATATATCTCCATCTGGCTTCATTTACAAGCCCTGAAATTCTTCTTGCCCTTCTGTTTTTGTTGTTTGTATATTACAGAACATCTTGTTGAAAGCCCAACTCAGCATAAAAATAGCATATTTAATGACTACCAAAATTTAACAAGTGAATTCCAATGTGACATTAGTTTATTAAGCAGAGCTGATCTGTCTATGGACTTCAAGTTGCCTTGAGCAGAAATTACATATTCCTGAGATTGGGTTAACAGGAGATTTTTGTAAACACCAGAGTGTCCTTCTGTCTCAAAATTCTTAACACTGTTTATTTTGCCAGACAACAGGCACATTCACACTGTTACTGACCTCACATGCTGGAGGCTTTTTCATTGCAGCTGGAGAAGCTGGGCAAAGCTCTCCCCAGATTTTTCCTCCTTCCAGCTTTCATGCCACAAACTGCCACAAGTAAAGATTTTTTTTTTAATTWTATTTTATTCTTTTTGTACTTGAAATCACCAGTCAATCTTAGCTCTGAGATGTACAATGCTCAGAGAGATTCTGCRCCTGGTGGTAGTCCCACTTCATGAAATGAAAAATCATTACCGACTTCACAGCAGATTAAAAATGTATTATCTAACTCGGGCATAGCATTGCTTGGTCACAAAAACTCCAGTCACAATTGCAAGAGAAATAGAGGCAGCCTCTCTGAGATATCCTGATTTTTGATTAGGCAGAACAGACAGGCAAACACAACTAGTGCTGTCCTCCCGATCAGCAGCCTCTGCATGAAATCAATTCTTCCGCATTACACTGTAGTTAAGAGGTCTCTATCAAAAGAAAATCCCTACTTCATGAAGGGCCTACCGTGCTTGTGTTTCTCACAATAATATATTCACAATATATTTCACAATTCCTGCAGTTTAAATCATGGACATTTTGCAGACATAGAAGGGTTGTTATTGCTTTCTCTCATAATCACTCTTCTTGCTTGCTTCTAATATAAAATCCATTGTAAACACATTCAGTGGGTCGATTTCACTCTCACTTATAAAGTCCACTTAATCTTCCCAGACTCCACAAAATGCTTTTTGGTTCAGTAACAATGCAGGAACATTTTTTAAGAAAAAGTTTCAAGAAAAGAGTCGTTTTGTTTTTTAATGCAGGCTTTACACAGTATAAACATCACTCTCAAAGACACATCGTCCACTTCCTACACTTTATACCAAGCAACCTCCAAGGTACTTTGAATTTATGTATAACAGCTAAGGATACTGAATGTTAATCCCAGAATATCCATGGATCTCTGCAAGCCTATGCTTTCCAGAAGTCAACATCCTCAGAAGCTCAGCAAGGCATTTGTCCCCTGCTATATTGTTCAGCAGCAGTAAATAATCCACTGCCATATGTCACAGTTGTACCTGTGGTGACCAGCAGCTCTGCAAAATCCACTTCTCTGTATTTTAAAAACCTATAAAACCAACTTCATGCAGTAGCAGCTTCTCAGCTGCACTATAAGAAGTCATTTTTTTGCCATACCTTTTTCTTGTTGGTGGGGCAAATGTAGAAATTGTCGATAACAGTGGCAATCCCCGGCTGTAGATTCAGCTTTGTGTACAAAGTCCCAAAATCTGATGACCTGAAAGAAATCAAACATCAGTAAGTGCGTTCTTCTAAAGGCCTCAGCAGCAAAACAGTGTAACACTAAGTAGGCATTTTCAATGCTTCTCTGCCATCCTTTTGTTCTTTTCCCTGCTCATTAGCAACTCAAAGAAACTTGCCACTATTGAGGGCACTWTTGCAGGTTGGAGAACACATTGCTAGTTCTGCCTTGTATTTTGCAATTCTATGCAGTGCTAGTGCTCAGGATGACACTAGGCTGCAATGAAAGGCTCACAGAACGTATAGCCTCCCAACAACACCATGAAGAAGTGAAGTAATCACAGCAAGGGCTTGTATTGGGGCACTAACAGCACCTATTCATCTAGGTAGAAAAGGAAAAGCTGGCTTCAGATGTTGGGGCTGCATAATAGAGCAAGCTGGCCTGGCCTCTAGGAGACCTGCAATGGACTTCTATGAGAATTTATACTTGATAAAGGTATCGGCCTCCTCCAGCAGTTTTCAGATGATTCCTATAGCTTTGGATAAATAAAAGCAATAAAAGCACCCAACTGTCGCTGTGCATTGCACACAAAGCTGTGCATGCTGTAATTGTGGGGACTATGTAGAAATATCACTTCATTTACCTGAAAAACCTACAGGATAAAACAGCATTTGGTTTCAGTCTCTGTATTGGCAATGTGTAGCACAAGAAGAATGCACAGGTAAGATGTTAGTTAAGGAAAAGGTTATTCAGCAAAACTCAAAGCAAAGCAAATTTGAACTTAAATCACTTTGGATGAAGCCCCATGCTTTATACAGGATATAAATGCACCATATGGTCTCCTATAAAAATAATCTTTCCCTTCTTATTTGGGATGCCCAGCCTCCAGACTCTGAGCCATGGCTCTGACTCAACTGTACGGGCACAAGTTTATCTGTTTTACAGAGGCGTCTGAAAATATTTGATCCATTTTGCACCTCATAATGTTGGTTAGCCTGCAGATGTACAATACCTTATAAAAGTTAATGCAAACATAATAATCCAGTTTTAACAAATAATTACATAGAAATCAACTACACACAATTCCACTACACTGGCTATTTGGCATGAAGCTGATTAACTTTCAAGAGGGGAAAGGCTGGACACTGAAAGTGCTAACACGAATTTCCTAGAGGTGTTTGACAGAATAGAAATTAAAGCAAACTCTAAAACACTAATTTCATCTAGATGGACCAAAACCATGCAGAACAAGTGGGTACAATGCAAACAAGAACCTAGTATATTCTCTGCAAAGAAAGAAATACTGGTCCAGTGGTTTGCCCAGTAATAAAACCCAGAAATAATTCTCTGAACTTTAAAGGTGATCAAATTTATTTTGAAGAGGCAGTTACAGAATTAATACAACAGGACCGCTAGACAGTAACTCCACAGGACTAATGGTGACAGCAGCTGTGCCAGGAGAAAAGAGGACATCCAAAGAGAATAAACCACTCTAAAGATTAGACGCTCCACTCTAAAACAGCCTGTTCTAACCCTCAAGACTCATAAAGAGTATTAAAAGGCTAAAATAAAGTTGTAACAAAAAAAAAGAGTACACTAGTGTAACCGAGTTATTTGCAAACAAAATGTAGAAAATTTATATGGCCAAAATCTTCTATTTTCTGGCACAAACTAGTTATCTCAATAGGAAAATAAAAGCTGGAGCCAAAAAGAAGAAATCCAGTTCCTACGTGACACCACAGGCTAGTGCACATACACAAAGGTGCCTCGTGTCCAAGCTGGAGGACACCTGTGGGTCTCTGGAGAACTTCTTCAGATCCCCAAATCTTTGTTATTAAAACCCAGACTACCCAGCAACATCAGCAGCTCCCTTTGCATATGTATAGAGTGACCTGGTTCAGACAGCTTTCCCTGGAACAACGCTTTGGGGATAGAGGGGTAGAAGAACTATAAATTCTGGCATCTCAGACTGACTGTAACTATTGAGGAATAGGCTAAAAAACAGCAAAAAGTGTGTTTCATACTAGCTGCAGGAGAGGAGCAACCACCTTTCAAAAAGGGATTTATTTCTATGTTGAAAGCCAGGCTTGTGCTGTGTCAAAAGTGCGAAGGAGAGGAAAGAAATGCAGCTGTGCTTATTTGGATAAATACATTCTTCTTCCTTTCTAAAAAATCATTAAAAAGCATTTGAGGTAAAAATGGAAAGAGGATGTAACAGGGTGGTGATATGAAGAGCAAAAAGGGTCCTCCTRCAGCACGGCTTATTTGCAGTGGCAGCACAATCCTGGTACTCCATAGAGAAGAGCATGGCGTGTAAAGGCTGGGTTCTCAAAGATAAGCCTGACCTGCACTGTGGAAGGACCTGCAGATAGGGATGGGGTTTGCTCTCCGTGAGACCTTCCCATGGATACAGCAGGTTCTGGGGTTGTCTCCTGCTGCTCCTCCACCTCTGCTAAAGGCTGTAGCTTGTGCGCGTGTTTCTTAGCAGAGCGAAAGCTCTCAGTGCAAGACTCCAAGGAGAACATCTCTACGGACTGAGGCGATGGGCCACGCAGGGCAGGTGGAGACACCAGTGCCAGGACTATGTGATTACTCATATCTAGAGGCAGACACCAGCCACACAACCAGTTTCTGACTGGCATTCCCATTAGGTAATAGCTTCTTTGAAAGGGAGCGTAGTTGCTGAAATATGAACAATTCCTCTTCAATTCTTTTTCTTTCTGAAAAAATCACTGTGATAACAGCATGTTGAAATAACAATCAGCAAAACTGTACAATGGTATTACAGCCAGGACAGAATTGGGTATTTTTTGTTTTAATACTATTAGCTCAAACTCTACTTGGGAAAGCATCTAAGTGGCACAGAGACTTACCCTGATGAAATCAAAGCTTCAGAAAGCCTAAACTAAAAGTGGATCTCTCCCTTAAAATGTAGTTTTTATTATATTTGAGCTAAACTAAAACTATGCCTAACAATTTAGAACTGCACCTAAACTCTTGAGTCTTTCAGCAGAAATGTTGAGGAAGAAGAAGAAATTTAAGACAAACTGAAAGAGATGTGAACCAAGTGTTTACCTATTCAAACTCCAGTGTCATTAAACTGCTCTCCATTGACAATTCACATCTATGTGATGATGATGTATTGCTCAATTAGACGTTTTCCAAGATTTTATTTACAAATATATATTAAAATATATATCAAACATACTAAAATGTAGTGAAATTTTATTTTTTTAAAATAAGTCAACATAGCAAAATTTAATAAAAAAATTAATCTGCAAATACTTTTTTTTATTTTCATTGATTTTCAATTAATTGAAGTGACTGCCTGGAAAGACAGTGATTTAAACACGTACATGTTGATCAGATGTCTTCTACCTTTTGCCTTTGAAGTTTAATTCAATTTCATGCTAGCAAAGTGGGTGCTATTGTACATTTTCTCCAACTAACCAAAAATCCTAGAAGATAACAATGAAAAAGCTTCAGCTGACAAAAGGATTACTTTAGTTAAGTAAGTTTAGTTAAGTACAGAAAAGATCTGCTGTTTTCGATTAGGAATAAATTGTCCAAAATAATTAATGATGCAAGATGCACATCACAGGGTGAAGGAGCATGGATCTATGCTTAACACTCATTTGGACTTCTTCCCATCTAAATCTTTTCCAGATTGTATTCTAAATGACTTCTTCTCTCCTTCTCCATCTTTTGGTCAGAAGAATAATCCAATAGTTACAGCATTAACCTTAAAGTGTAGGAGAAATGAGGTCAAGTTCTCACTACATCACAGACTTATACCTAACACTGGGATTTTCTCTGCATTCCAGTCTCTTTCCTTAAAAAAAAAAAAAAAAAAAAAATAGAGATAATGCTACCTACTACATCTCAAATGTCTATTATAAGGAAAATATACAGATATCTACAAGACAGTATAGAATGAAGGATTGGCTGATAGGATATTTAAAACAGATACATTCCAAATTTCCTAACATGGAAGCCAGGACAAACCTACTGCAAGGAGGAATATCATTTAAAAAAAATTATACTAATATATCTTTATTTCTTCACAAGCAAGACATCACAGGCCCTTGTATGCACAGTGTGGAAATTTCAAGGATATTAGTTAGTCTTATAAAGGCTAACAAAGGCTAACACCATCAACAAAAAATTCCCCCCAACCCACAGCCTTTCTCCAGAGGCTCTAGAGCCTTTCTGCAGGAGCTGCAGAAGGCCAGGCCAGGCCAGGCCAGGCCAGGCCACGCAGCGATCACCTGCTGCGTTACCCACCAGCTGTGAGCCGGGCTGCAGCACTGTCTGAAAATGCCTCTCTCTGCTTTCCACAAAAGTTGAACCTTTTTGAACCTCAGTGATATTTTTGCTCTCAAAAACAGAAATACTATAGAACTGTCTCCTTCTTAATCTAGTTTTACTCTAAATAGTCAAAGGCGTAAGCAAATCTAACAGCTAAACACTTTGCGAACCTCAAGTTCAGGTAGTACAGAGCTTATCTTTTCACATACGCACTTAAAAGGTATTTATTCTGTTTTTGTTTACCAACATTATCAGTATTTTTARGAACTGCTACACTAGTCCCTCCAAGAACCTTTCTGGCTAAAACAAATTTCTCTGTAAGACTCTGCTGAGCACAGAATATGGGACAGCTCTTTATACTGTCTGTCTTTATATATATAAATATAAATATAAGTATGTGTGTGTGTGTGTGTATATATATRTATACACTGTCTGTCTTTATACTGTTTAAGAGATTTCAGCCCATTACTGCAGACACTGCAAACAATAATGTAGTTTTCCAGTCTCCACCTCTTCCTGGCAGCACAGGGAAGGACAAGCAGCCATTTCTAGAACATTTTAGTGACTTGTAAATATCTCTTCATCTTTGACTGTGAAATACTGACTCCAAAACACCCATAGGAAAAATAATAAAACACACAAAAATCACCGAAAATGAAACACTGAGCAGCTGCATTTGTATCCAGTAAGGAACCCAAAAAGAATCTAGCTTTTCTGAACGCTAGAAC